GATCCTTGGACTCTTATGGGACCTTCGAGGACGGCCAGAGTTAGTCTTAAGGGTACAGGTACTTGCTGAGGGATGCCTGTAGGCAGGCCACGTCCTGGCACTGAGGGAAATTTTCGGTGAACACGACCCTCCCTGAGCTTTCTCCTCCGCTACGACCTCCTTTCAAAAATTTTCCGGTTTTTACCCCTGAAACTGCCATCGAGCGGGCGGGGGGGGGAGGGAGATGTGACTAGCACACGTGAAACGGAAAAAATGTGAAAGGCTGTCAACCGGAAACATGTTTTCCCAAAAAAGAGTTGTGACCTCTCACCCTCCATCGGCCAAATACGACCCATTCGCTGGGGATCCCCAATGTGAGACGCGCGCTGTTTGGAAGGTTCCGAATAGGTACAGTAGGAAAGAGACCACTTCGTGCAGCATAATAGATTTCCTTTGGTCTTTTATGGGAGGATATAATGCCTGGAGACGGAAATGCTATGGTGGAAGTCACCCGTACGTGCTGAGCGATATTCCAATTAACTTAGTATTTACCGAAAAGGTATTTACCGAAAACTTACCGTAAAAAAGGGGTTCAGGATTTGACTCCCCGAGAGTTGTTCACTCATTTGATGCATCTGAGCACTCCTTTTGTAGTCGGAGGGTCAATTTCCCAGAAAAACGGCTGCAGCCGTCATTTTCAGCATCAATCCGTCGTCATTTCCAACGAAATGCCGGTTTTCATTACCCTAAGAGCCCTTCTATTTCTGCAGTACTAAGACGTATGTAAAGCAGTTGTCCTTTTCCGGGCGACGACAGCTGCCGCCGCATTCTCGAAGAGGCATTTGAGCCGTCCGTCGGCCGAGAGTGCATTGTCGGCGCGCTGCACTGCTAAATGGACCTCACCTGAAAGAATATGGGGGGTCTCATTGATTGTGATGAACGGCCACATTATGACCAGCTGTCATCGCGTTCGAATGGAAAAGCCATTTCAAAATTAATTAAGCCTCTTATCGGACCTTTTTTTCAGAGCGAAGGGCTAAATTGATTTCTTTGAGCGAGTTAATTTGAAAACTCAAAAAGCAACGTTTCAGTGCTTGGGGGCATCGGACTGTTGCATAGAGCTGCTGCTGCTTCTTCATCAATCCTATTACCCTTCCTCCCTCCTATCCATGTCCCCAAAAGCAAAGATCAGCCCGCTAAATCTATAAGCTTTGCCTCTCCAAGATGACCATAAGTGGCCAAAGAACTGACATGCAAAAAATCATGGCAGGGATAGAATTTTCGGGGAAGATGGACAGGATTCATGGGATGCACAATGCACTTATCGTGAGATCGTTCTCTGTGTCCCTTGCTCATTTGAGCAAAAATGAGCCCGCTAAATCTATAAGCTTTGCCTCTCCAAGATGACCATAAGTGGCCAAAGAACTGACATGCAAAAAATCATGGCAGGGATAGAATTTTCGGGGAAGATGGACAGGATTCATGGGATGCACAATGCACTTATCGTGGGATCGTTCTCTGTGTCCCTTGCTCATTTGAGCAAAAATGAGCCCGCTAAATCTATAAGCTTTGCCTCCCCAAGATGACCATAAGTGGTTTTGGAGGTTCTAGAAGGTTGGTTTTGGAGGTTCTGAAGGTTCTCATCGGAAAAGCTTATAGTTTCGAGTTTTTCCGATGAGAACCTCCAGCTTCTTCTCTCGATCACGCAAATGCAGCTTCCACCTCACTTCAGGAAGTGGCTTCCCTGTGGAGCTTCCTTTGTAGACACATTCCACGATTATAATTTTTATGTTCCCGGAGATCTAGTATGTCTTCCCAGATGCGAAGCGGCTTTACAGTCAAGGAAGCAGTGGAAGGCGCTAAATAAAGCCCTAGGATTGGAAGAGTATTCAAAAACCCCAAACTAAGCTAAGCAAATCTCATATGATTTGTGCGAGGATTCTGCTGCAGAACCAACGCAGACATTATTCTTTGACGCTTTTAGGTCGGCGTAAAGTCCAGATACTGATTCGTTCATTAGATCCTGGCTGACGGGGAAGGACCGCATCCGCCTAGACGGGAAACGATACAGAATGATACAACTTATACATCTGTGTTTACAACTAAGAATAAGACAATCGCTGTAATCTTGTTTTGACATGGGCGGAGCAGCTTATACAGGTGGCGTTCCTTCAGCCAATAATGATCACAGGGCCTTCGTCACTTACTCCGCAAAGGTGGGAAGATGGGATAAAATTTGGAACTGTGTAACCAGATTACTTGTTCAAAGAAGGTATTCTACGTAACAGCAGAAAGTGTTCTTGAATGAAAAAGTGGGACCAGCGTCAAAATTTCTGGATAGTTCTAGCAAATCTGTGTCCAAATTGACTATTATAATAGAGTTGCACAGAATGTTTATTGGCGAAATCGTCGATGAGCTGGTTTTTCACATAAGATTGGCTAAAATAGATCGGAAGAGCGGTAAGCGCCTCGTAGCGCTGCTCGGCTTTAGGAGGGGCCATTTCGCCCACTTGTTCGCTCGTTCTCTTCCGTTAGGATCCTGTTGGAATTACCCGGTCTGCACCTTCGGTAAGACTGGTGAACTTTCGTCGGACTCGAAACGCTGCTTCGCTTGCTTTGTATAGCTTTGCAAGCCTTCCTGAGGACGTACGATGGTAAATAGTAGAACCAGAAAAATGCCCTACCAAGCCAAAATGCTCCGAGCTTGTTGCTCACTCAGATGTCGGCAGCTAGCGATAGCTCATCATGCGCTTCTCTTCATTTCCATGAAGGTCTGTCTTCGAGTTGTCATCATATGTCAGCTGAGTTGACACTGACATGACACTGACATTTTGACTCACAAATTAACTATGAATTGACTCTTTTTAGAGGATATGACGTTTGGGAACGTCTAGAGTGGTGAGCGGATGACTTTACTGGTACATACCGAGGGGCAGTGGATATGCCCTTATGGGATTCATCGTGCCGTTGTGTCGGCAGAGAGCAGTGTTGTTCCCTTTATGAACTAGGGTAGAGGCTGCCGCCACCTGAACGTTTGAAGGTTAGAGTTTCTTCCATATCGGGCGAGCTGGGAGCATGTGCGTCAGGCCGTGCGCCCCTAACCGCTGCAAAATGGATTTCTAAAGCCGTTCACAATGAGAACCCTGTGTTTATACAGTAATATTTCTGGAGCGGTCCGGCCGTGGGAGCGGCAACAAATGGGATTAGCCTGCACCAGCTGCCTCCGCTAAAAACCCTGTACATTCTCTGCCGTGAGCAAAGTCGTTTGCTCTTCACCAATTACAGTTCCGCCAAGAATTCTCAGGTCAATCTAACAGATAGTAGACCTATGCATTTACATGAACCAACAAACTAGCGCAAGTGCAAAATGCCCCTTCTGAGCTGTACAGCACAATATAAAATTCTTCTACTTCGCACTGGCAAGGGTCGGAAAATATTCTACTCACTCAGTCCCATTGTTGCAAGTCAGTGAACACCTTTTTTCACGCATCTCCTTTGACAAGGAGAGTCGCCACTCCTTTTACATGATTAGAAGTCCCTGTGCAACCTTGCGTGACTTAGCATGTCCTCAGTAGAGGAGCTCCCATAGAGCGTCTACCCAAAAAAGGTGTACGCTGTGCCATCAGCAGACACTTTATGGAGCGCATTTCCTTCAGTAAAATTGAATTTGCTGAAATTTTGAGGGTTTTTCGGAATTCCCCGTAGCCCTCGAAACACTCTTTGTTGGGATTGTACTGGCCGTACACATCGTTAGAGACAAGTTGACTGCTTTCACTTCTCAATAAGATAAGGACTCGTAACGAACCGACGATCTAACGTGTTTTCTTCGAGAAGCTTACGACGTGATCCAATCCCGTGTGCGTGTGTGCTGGCAGCTAGGGATGAGAGAAAAAAGAGGCTTATTTCTCATCCGATTTGTGGAGGGTTCCGCGGTAAATAGTAGCCATCCAAGGGAGACACTTGACGCTCTTTGGTCGATCGTAAAGTCCCACACCCACTGATTTGGTCATCATTTCCTGGCTGACGAGTATGGAACACATCCGGCCATACACTGGTCGACTTCACCAAAGCCATGTCTTCAATTAGGCAAATCTTTGGCAAAATGGAATAAAGTAATCGTTCGGGACGGGAAATGACCACATTCGTGTGTGTCGGCGAATTGGCACGTTGATGAGATGACAACGAGGTCCATTGGTCGCACCTCGTTCGGCCCCTGTCATGTGAATTTCTGGTCGGCCGTAATCGACCACTAAATCTCATCAAAATCTCCAGGGACCAATGAATAATCCTGGATTGAGAGAATGATTACGGCGATTTTTTTCACTCCGAAAAAATAGTAAAGTGGTAAACAAAAAAGTCTTTTGACGCGGTTAGGCTTGGGAGGGGAGGGGAGAGAGTTTGCATTTCCGCTTCTTCCCATCGTCGTGTTCATCGCTTCGAAGGACTTGACAGGTATTCCTAGCGAGAGCTGGCGGGGATCTCTACAAACTTTGGCTGGTATCATTTCGCGGCTTCATGAGATTTCACAGGTCTCCACTTGCTGGCTACACATGTCCATGGGAATCGGAGCATGTGCAATATGCCCCTCCCAACTGCGCCCACGATTGTCAACTCTTAGGTAAATGGCTTAGAGGGATCCATGAGTCGGATCAGCTTAGGAATAGCCATTTCCATCCATCGAATAAGGTTCTATACAGGAGGAAACCATTTTGTAAGTGTAGAATCGTCCACAGTAATCGTCTAGCTACAGTATGGGAGATTTGTTGAGAATAAAGCGTGGAGTAGCTGCGACAATTTTCTGGGATGCGCCACACATTCTACCTTCATGCTGTATTTTAAACATTCTAAGACAGTGCACTGACTTCAAGTGCCAGTTGCTGTCAAAATCAGGTCTACATCGGCTGGCCCCTAGGAAGGGGGAGGGGTGTTTCCCGGGAACAATCCAATCGGTACGGGGCTCTTAAATGAATATGGCAATGATTAAACGACTCTGAGAAGGATGATGTCGCCGGCTTGGATCTCAGCCGATCCGACTTTGACCCCCGCATCGCAGACGTTTAAAGCAGCGCCATTTGCACCTAATCTACCCTCCGCTCTCCTCCCAGAATATCACGAGGAACTGTCCGTAATACAGCGAATTCCCCCTCAACCAAAACAAGGCATAGCTGCTTACCTGGCAATTTTTGTCCCTCCTTAAATTCTGGGCGCAAATGACAGGTATATGCCTTTTTCATCCTGTCTTTATACAACCTAGCGAAAGGTAGCTTAAAAGCTTAGGCTGCACGTTGAGCATGCCCCCCTAGCCCCACAAATGCCCTTTCTGGGTTTCGTGTAGACTCCCAAGTGCACCTTGCTCGACTTTTCATTCTTGCTATAAAAAATTTAGATCGATTACTCACTGAAGATAGTATGACGGTAGCATTTGGCGTGGAATTTGAAATTTCACTCGGGTCTTGTAAACACTTTGAAAAGAGAATCAAAGATAAATATATGTCAAGTCCGGGATTCCTCTCACAGATGTCTGCGATGTGGCGGCTTGGGGAGCTCACTGTAGAATCTCAAAATTAGCTCGAATCCCATGAGGGATGGAAATGGCCGCTGTTTTCGTCATTCCCGTTGTACCTAAACTTTACTATTGTATTTTCAGGTGGTTTACTCAACGCTGTCGCACGTTCCTGCATGGACGCATGTGGATTTCTTGGCTTCCCAACTGCGAATAAAAAACGCCTACGGAATCGAAGAGTTGGATGTCAGGAATCCGTTACTGATGCTTACTGTCTGCGACACCGGTATGTGGCCTAGTACTATTTTTTGAGTCTTTATACATTTTACTTGTTGAGTAAAGCTCCCCAACTTCCCTAAAAACTCCCATTTTGTAATTAACAAATTTGTACAGATGTGCTCTAATCAAAGGCGAATCTCGCGATAAACGGGAGGTCGGGTAATGAGCTGGGCCTCATAATCGTCTGCCTTCCTCACCAATGTGCCCCTCCGCTTATCCCTAGGCACATCAAAGAGGGGAGGACAATTGTCACAGAGGTGACCAGCGCAGTTAGAGCAACGTGTCTTCAGGTTCTAAAAAGCTTAAAAAGAATTTCAACTAACCTGTAACAAATAAATAGAACTACTTGAGTAACGAGATGAAAAAAGCTCTTCAACAAACTAAAGAGTCGTACTGGATTCATAAAAGGCCAAAAAAGTCCAAATGGGAACCGTTCAGGATGTTTGGTGTTACTTTTGTGGAACGTTTGTCTTCACTTCCAGTTTTCCTTTCAGAGTCTCCGATTACGGTATTCGATGACAGTTCCTACTTGGTCGACACGCACAAGGCTGGTCTTGTGTCGATGTACGAGAATGAGCTCACCGTGGTGTTCCGCTCCTACCGTTCCGGTGTGCTTTTCTTCTCCGTTGCCGATCAAGGCGATATCCTCATCGCTCAGGTCATCCATGGTACCGTTCACGTCATGTTCGACTTCGGTAAGTCCGTCTAGTTCTGCCAAGCCAATTCCTGTTTTTTTCTTCTTATTTATACTACTTGGTGGAGGATGCTCTTCTGGAATGGAGGCATCAGTTCTCCCTCACTGAAGCCCCTGCTGGGGTCACGGCGCGTGCAACCTCTGAGGATACTTTTAGGGCGCAGTTTGACGACGGGGGGGGCATTTTGCACTTTCGTTGCTTCACTAGTTCCTGGTTTACAAGTCTCACTCTGGTGAAACCTGTGAACTCTTGTGAAGCTGGAGCAAGCTCGTCAAGCCATT